AATTCAACTACTTTATTAGGCTGTAACGGTGACGGTAAACTTTTACTGTAGGCCATATAAATACTTGTTCCGCGCGGGATTTGAACTCAACGCCTATCAAGCGACTGTGCCACGGAGCCATCGCGCTTGCAGTGCACATTAAATCTATACAAATAAATAAACCTAAAGTGTCTGTTTGTAATGTCAAAATTACAGCTTTTTACAATATGCATATAAAAGTATATACGGTACTTATAACAAAAACATGATTTTTAAAATTTCTGTCTGTCTGTCTGTTTGTTCCAGCTAATCTCCGAAACGGCTGGACCGATTTTGACGGGACTTTCACTGACAGATAGCTGATGTTATAAGAAGTAACTTAGGCTACTTTTATATTTGAAAAATATTTCAACGCAAAAAAAAAAAGCAAAGTACACGCGTGCGAAGTCGCGAGGTACAGCTAATCTATACAAATAAATAAAGTTGAAGTGTCTGTTTGTAATGTCAAAATACCAGCATTTTACTAAATGCATATAAAAGTATATACGGTACTTATAGCAAAAACACAATTTTTAAAATTTTTGTCTGTCTGTAGGTCTGTCTGTCTGTCTGTCTGTTTGTTCCGGCTAATCTCCAAAACAGAATTAAGGTTCCGCGCAACATAATTAAAACCCTAAATTACACGCGGGCGAAGTCGCGGTAAAACAGCTAGTAATATTATAAAATTCTTCTATTCCTGTGTATGTAACTGAACTCCTCCTAAACGGCTGGACCGATTATAATAAAATTTTTGTGTGTTATTAAGTTGATTAGAGAGTGGTTTAGATTCACAATTGGACCCGGTAGGTGGCGTTGTTGTTGTGACCCAGCAATCAACCGTGCGAAGCCGGGGCCGATGATCCAACCCACGTACTGGCCAAAATATTGATCACGAGGCTCTTTTTTAAAACCCTATAAGAAATCCCAACATTCAATTTTCTTTAAAATGATATACATATCATGATATAATAGGGCTTCTGCCACATGAAAAATCCATTTTTCTTTAAAATTTCTGCAAAACGCGGTTCAATTGTACAACCAGAGTTTGTTGCAAGTGATGATCATGACTAATGATGAATAAAGCTTTTAGCATGACACTTGGCCAGAAGCTGCTGGAGGTATATGTACAAAAAAAAAGAACGTGAATATGAATTTCTACGGATTTATATAAAACAAAATCTCTCAACAAACTAGCTACGTAAGTTTGCATAAAACTAAAACACCTGTTATAATGTAGAGGGATCGTTTTTGGGGGAAACAACTGACGCGACCGTTTGGAATCAAACAGGTGTGAAAGCCACATGTTTTTGTAAAATTATTAGAGCGTAGCGACTACTCAACTCATACCTACTTTGTTAGTAGGTCCTTTGTATGAACCAGTCAAAAAATCTTAAACCTGATTATTGGTTTTTATATAAAGGTGTGTGTAAAATTACAAAAATCGGTTGCCAACCCGCCTGCCAAGTGTGGTAACTATGGCAAATATACCACCTATAAGGAATTCTGTGGGGAGGCCTCGGTTCAACAGTGGAATTATTATAGGCCGTAATACGTAGGTGGCTGAATTGATAAGATACGAGTACATAGATAATGTTTATTGTTCACCAAAAACGTTAACGTTAAATTTACGTTAACGCCAACACGCCAACGCCAAACCATGCTGGAGCTATATTAATTCTATAGTTGTAGCATAACTGGGTCCACTCGACCGCGAAAGGATCACTCTCTCACAGAAAACCAGCGTAAAATAGCAGTTTAATGCTGCTGTGTTTCGTACGGTGAGTGTAGAGAAACGGAGACCCTTTTTATTCGAAATGAGGCGTTCCATATTATTCCTCAGGGATGACAGCACATCTGTATTTGATTCTTAACCGAGGTTACATGTACATGTTTTTTTTTTATATGATAAGGGTGACAAACGAGCACACAGTCCACCTGATGGTAAGTGTTTGCTGTGGCCCATAGAGATCTACATTTATCCTCGATTACGAATCAAAATACAGCTGCGTTGTCACCCGTGAGGACTAAGATGAAATGCCTCGTTTCCAGTAAAAAGGGTCTCCGGTTCTCTACACTCACCATACGAAACACAGCAGTGTTAAGCTGCTATTTTACGCTGGTATTCTGTGAGAGCGTGGTCCTTCCCCGGTCGAGCCGACCCACTCGTGGTACTCTTACAACTATACCAGAAATATAGCTGCAGCATGACCACATCACCCACTTACCGTTAGGTGGACTGTATGCTCGTTTGTCATCCGTATTCTATAAAAACGTTTTTATAAAAAATCTATCTTTTCTTTTTTCTAAAAACGTTACCCCCTGACTAGGATTCTCTCCCGCATCGTGGAAGCGGTATACAAACATTCATTAACTGCACAAGGACAAACATCCAGACCCGGAACAATTACTTGTAGGCCATACAAATACTTGTTCCGTGCGAGATTTGAAAACGCGTCCCTTAGCACCGTAACTTAATTCTAAGCCACTGGGCTATGGAACCGTCAAGCAAAATACAATGTACCAAACAATGTTGTCACGTTGTTTACAGAGTGAGTTTGTTTTGCGCTGATGCAGTTACAACAAGCGTTGCTTATCGGTCTTATCGGCGCCAAATACCTTAGCAGTGTGTGTTAGACCTGTTTGCAATGGTGAAAAATATTTCGGCTACTGACAATTTTGTTTGCGAACTTGTATACTTGCCTGTGTGCTTGTATATAAATTTTCGCAAGTGGTATACGTGGTAGAAAGACGCTGTGGCTGTACTACGTCTGCAGGACGAATGGGTCAGCTCAACCGGGAGAGGATCACGATATAGTATCCAGCATTTTTGTGAATACACACATGAGACACTAGGGAATACACACAGATAATTGTATTTTTATAATATGCAATCAATTTTAAAATTAATCCATTTTGCTTTTATTGGCTACTAGATGTTCCCCGCGACTTTGCCCGCGTATTATTTGGGGTTTTAAACTTTTTGCGCGGAACCTTAATTGTTTTTCTAAAATAAAAGTAGCCTTAGTTACTCCTTATAACATCAGCTATCTGCCGTTGAAAATCCCTTCAAAATCGGACTAGCCGTTTCGGAGATTAGCCAGAACAAACAGACAAAAATTTTAATAATTGTATTTTTGTTATAAATACCGTATACACTTTCATATACATTTAGTAAAAAGCCGTAATGTTGACATTACAAACAGACACTTCAATTTTATTTATTTGTATAGACAATGTAGAGAAATATATTTTTACGCCACACTGTGGTAGAATACATGATACCTACTGTAAATTTTACTAACACCTAACTCAACACACACACAACACAAACACTCACGCCTGTCACCCAGAGGGGTAGGCAGAAACTACGGACTTCCATTTGGCGCGATCCTGACACACCTCTCTCGCCTCCTTCACTATATATCTACGCATACACGCTCGTCGGTTAAGGGTACTCCTTTCTGACCCATTTTCAATGTATCGCCGATTTGGTCGATAAATCTTCGTCTAGGGCGTCCCTTCCCGACTTTGCCGTTCACTTCTGAAACATAAATTTGCTTTGTCACTCTTTCCTCGTTCATTCTTTCTACGTGACCAAACCACCGAAGCATTCCTTTTTTAATCCTGGTCACAACGTCACCACTGTAATCTAACTCACTGTATTCACAAATAAATAAATCAATTTGAATGAATATGAATTTTATAAGGCGCCCAGGGGTATCCCTCTGGGTAAGCAGAGATTACGGACTTGGCACCGATACTGATACACCTCTCTCGTTTCTTTCACAACCATATATCTACGCAAATATGCTCGTCAGTTAAAGGTACTCTTAGGTTAGATTAAAGGTAACTTCGCCCATATTCTAAGAAATTCTGAGTAACGTCGCGGAGCCAGGAAGTTGGCGGTGTTTCACACCTGAGCCCCGGAAAGCACGAAAAATCGTTGGTCCTTTCTATATAAGAAGGGGAAACAAGTGTGCAGCTCACCTGATAGTAAGTATCGACCACTGTCCATGAACAACTGCTTCGCCAGTGGAATTACAAACTCGTTGCCGGCCTTTTTGAAAAGGAGTAAGTTTGTTTTTTGAAGGTGCCTAAAGTTGTATCGGTTCGTATAAATTACCGGTGGTAGAAGATTCCTCAAAAAAGTCATACAAGGAATAAAGCTCTTAGTAAATCGCACAGTCGTTGTGTGGATTGTGTTTGGTCGCGATGTGCAGTGGTAGAATTTGACGGGTATAATTGATCTTAACAATTCCTTTGAGCACTCCTCGTGTTGAATGCGTTAGAAAATACAAAGGAATTAAAATACATACTAGAACCCATAACAATAGTTTCATGTCTATGATTTAGTAATCTCTCTAGAACCATCAGAAACAGAAACAGAAACTTTTTTATTCAGTATAGATTATAAATAATACTTATTGAAAATCACTCTTTTGTTTAATTACATCATAGCAGACGATCGATCCGGTTCGTTTAATTTCTTAACACCAATTTTACATTTTACGTGATAGAACTATGCTGCAGCTATATTAGTAATATAGTTGTAGCACGAATGGGTCGATTCTACCGGGGAAGGACCACGCTCTCGCAGTATACCAGCGTAAAATAGCAACTTAACGCTGCTGTGTTTCATATGGTGAGTGTGGAGAACCGGAGTTTTTTACTGGAAAAGAGGCATTCCATGTCAGTAATCACGTGTGACAACGCATTTGCATTTTGATTCTTTATTGAGGATAGATGTGGATGTCTATGGGTCAAAGCAACCACTAACAATCAGGTGGACTGTGTGCTCGTTTGTCACCCTATCCTATGAAAAAAATGTTTCTCATCTATTATTTCCTTTTGTTACAGGTGTATACAATGCTATGAAAATCTCTGAGTTTGGATCGTGCTAGTTTCTGTAGCTTATACCATCACGGACTTGTCATATTATGTGAATTCATGTGAATACGGTGTTAAGAGACTTTTTGGAAACTATGGCGGAAAACGAGGGACCAGTAACCGTTGACAATTTGCCGATATGCTTTCAAGTGAGTACCTTTTTTATACGTGGGCAAATCGTTATGGATACCTACCCACCGCAGGGTGATAGACAGGTTATGCCGGACTCCTACCAGCTAAAACCAGCGGGCTCAACCCCGACAGCGGTAGCCTTCACAGGCTCCTTCTCGATTAAGGAGTGGAGCTGGAGTTTCCCACCCCTACTTCATACAGAGGTGCACGGTAAAAACACCACGTTCGCCCCAACTTGAGGCCTTGAGTATAAGATGACGGACAACCCTCGTGTCCGCCGCCGTCCTCAATTACGGGAGGTGGAGGAGGTCGTGATATACTTCAGCTCTTCGACTGCGGATTAGAGTAACTGCCGTTCTTTTCCGCTCCCTATACGCGGCCTCCTTCGGCGAACAGTTGATCTCGCAGAAGGAGCCTCACTATCCCCAGCCTCACAGAAAGTAACACAAGTAGAATAGAAAGTTATAATTTAAAATTTCAAAATATTTTACATTACTGTCAATGCTTTCAACATATTTTAGTCCAATCCTACACATATCAATATTAAAATTAAATTAATAATTTTTTCATAATGATTTTTTATATTTACACAAATACTACACATTAACTGAAACTAATTTTACGTATATTATCGCGTGTTATTTTAACTTTTTAATTCCCGACGTTTCGGATACCAAGAAGATACAATTTAAACGCGGTAAAATACGTAACATTAGTTTCATTCAATATAAACCTTCGTTTATAAAATCTAATCTGTGATTATAAATGAAAACTCTTTTATTTTTTCTTTCATTTTTATTAAAAAATAAGATTTCGTTTCAGAAATAAAGGCAAAACATATTTTTTCATCTATTCCTGTTTCAAAATAAGGTTCCTCTCTCCGAATAAGTAACGAAAAAAGAGTTCATCAAGTACCCTCTTTTTTGTCATTTATTAAATGTCATCATCATATACTACTGATTACTTTTTAATAAAACTGAAGTCACCAACGAACTAACTGTCCACCTGATGGTAAGTGGTGCAGAACATTACCTGCAGCCAGCATCAAACAAAGATATCTTCAGGTGCGACCACGCCTCTGAGGACTAAGTTGGAATACCTCACAGCCTGTGATTACCCTCCCGGCTTCTGTACCCTTAAGATCGAAACAGCAGTGCAAGCACGGCTACTTAGCGGTAGAAATAAGTAAGAGACTGGTACTTACCCAGACGAAATTTTACCCAGAAATGGAGTTCTAACATCTAGTGAATTGACCTAGTATCATTGGCCTTCCCTATAGATAACCTCGCAGAAGATATATTTGCCATTGTTGCCACGTTTGGCTCGCGGGCTAGCCGTTTCTTGAAAGGTCATTGTTATAATATTCTTTATCAAAATTATAATATGAAAGGCAATAAACTCATTTGTAACTGAAGCATGTTTTATAAAAATTATGAAAAATTAAAGCCTACAAACTTCTTCATAAAAGTAATTATGACTAATAAGTGCATAGTCCACTTGATTGAAGTTGAAGTTGAATGATGTGGCCTATATACGCCTACATCTATAGCACTACATTAAAAATAGAAATGCAATGTCACTCCTGAGGCTGAAATGCCTCTTTACCAGTAAATGTTCTCCGGTTCGCACCATTTACCATGATATTGGCCTAAGTTCGATAAAGCTGTATAAGCCAACTGGCTAACACCACTTATATCGCAGAAAAAAGCTAGCTAGGCTTCTTCACCACGTAACTACACTATGTGCCAATACCGCATAGCTCTAAGCTATGTCTCTACATTATTTGACAATACCGCGTAACTCTGCACACGTATCTACCCTATGTTGCAATACTGCGTAACTCTACGCACGTCTCTACACTATTTGACTCTACCACGTAACTCAACACTACGTCTCTACACTATGTGGTTCTACCACGTAATTTGACTTGGATTAGATGTTTGATTATGATGAGAACAGTAATTTTCGTAATTATGTTTATTAATGAAGCGTCAAATAAAACTATTTTAGATGATTCACGTTTAATTTTACTTGTTCTAAACTCTTGATGTTTCGATCGTTTTGCAGCATCTGTGGTCACGAGGGGGACTGAATGTAATTAAAAGCTGAAGGTACCCCGGATTAACTACAACATTGGGACGTCAAATACCTCAGTCCCTCGTAACTATGGTGAACCCATTGGTGATAAAAAGCACTCAAAACGTCGGCAGTAAAAATGAACGCAATAAAATCCTTCAGAATAGTTTTATTTAATGTGTAGTATTCGCGTAAATATAAGAAATCATAAAGCAGAATTATAAAAACTTATATTACAATGTAGATAGGAATAGAATGTGTAAGCAATCATAAAAAATAAATTGTAGGTCACAGTGAGTCGGGCTACGTGACCCGACTTTATTAAATGACACATAGCGGTGCACTACTGTCGCATTTAATCCACTTTGCCAACAGGTCATTGGTTTAGCTCTAATGACTAAATGTCTTTAATTAGTTAGCAGCGTTTATTTTTGTACCTTCATTTAACGTACAAAAATAATATAACCCATTATTTAAAAAAAAAACAGAAGCCGTTTTCCCTAGAGTCGGTAATGACTAATCATACCGTCCCGTTCTATCCCTCCCTGCCAAAATTTGTATAGTCAATGCTAAAAAAGATATCTCCTTAGCATTTTTAGGGTTCCGTACCGCAAAAGGAAAAAATGGAACCCCTATAGGATCACTTTCTTGTCCGTCTGTCTGTATGTCTGTCTGTCAAGATCCTTTTTCTCAGGAACGCTTGGAGGTATCAAGCTGAAATTCATATCAAATACTCAAGTTTACTGTCCCTTGGAGCTGTGAAAATGTCAAACTTCTAAGCCAACGCATTCAAAAGATACAGCCGTTTATGCCGCAAATTTTCGACATTCGCAAGGGAATCAAAACCTACAGGGTACTTCCCGTGAACTCAGAATCTTAAAATTTGGTACGAAGCAACGTATTATAGCACAGATAAAGAAAAATTGCAAAAAGCATAAATTTTTAGTTACATCATATAATAAAATGTGTGTATTTTTGTGTGTGTGTATTTTTAATAATTTTAAACTTATATACCTACGGATTTGTTCGGAACCCTCGGTGCGCGAGTCTGACTCGCACTTGGCCGGTTTTTTTAAACTTGCTTCTTCTATAATGTAATTCATTTATGGGGAAATGTACAACAACAAAATCCCAGAAAATGTAAAAAAAAATTGTCAATAAACAAGTTTAAATGTTTTATTAAACAAAAATTGTACAAAAAGGGTTATTATAATATCAAAGAATACATAAATGTAAAACACCCCTGTGTATGAGGTGATCGCCACCATGCTGGTTATATTAAAACTTGTTTCAAATTTGTACAAACTAAATTATTGTAAAGTGAATAATATTATAAAAAAGTTCCGCTGGGTTTCTTGCTGGTTCTTCCCAGGACAGAGGTATTTTCCGAAGCAGTGGAAAATAGATAAAAAAACTTTAAACTTTTGTTTTAGTTACGTAATAATCTATATTGAATAAAATTATTCTATTCTATTCTATAAAAGTCAAAGTTAAAATCAAATCCCTGCATAATAGCTCTCATTTAACAATGATTCCTAATATTCTTGATCCACGATAACAACTAAAACTTAAAAGCTTCGGGAAAGATTGAATTAACATCCCAAGCTACCGTAAACGATGTGCTTATACCACCTTTTAACTGAAGCCATAAGACAGTTTTGAATATCCTATAGTTGTCTCTTACGTAACCTACGGGACAAAACGTAAAGATTGAAGAGCCATGCTGCAGCTATATTATGGCTGCAGTTCCATTGGGTCAGGTTGACCGGGGTAGGACCATGCTCTCACAGAAAACCAGCGTGAAACAGGAAATAATGCGTTTCGTATATGGTAATTGAATTACTTACTTTCCTACGGGAGAACCGGAGACCTACTTTTCTGGTGAGTAAATATTACATCTAGTCCTCAGAGGTGATAACGCATCTGCATTTGGATTCTTAATCGAGGATTATTTTTATTTTTTATAGAATACAAAGGGCACACAGTCCACCCGGTGGTAAGTGTATAGCATGGCCCATAGATATACACTTATACTCGATTAATAAATAATCAATATGAATATGTTGTCACCCCTGAGGATTGTGATGAAATTAACAATTGACTCACCATACGAAACACAGCAGCAATAAGCTGCTGTTTTACTCTAATGCTGTAAATATCTATGGGACATAACACACAACTATCACCAAGTGGACTATGTGCTCGTTTGTCACTCTAATTCAATAAAATCAATTATTAAAGTTGGGAAAAAATTAAAAAAAATATATAATGGACTTCCGCAAAATAACGCCTGATTCTATTAAAATCAATCTGTTTGGACATAGAGAAACCCTTCGATCGGGTCTGGCAGAAAGCGCTTCTTTTGAAGCGTCCTTCGTATGGGCTGCCCAAGAAAATGAGCAATTGGATCACCAGTTTCCTTGCTGATCGGAACATCAAGGTCGTAGTAGACGGTGCATGCTCCGATTACAAGCCTATTCACGCTGTTGTACGACAAAGCGGCGTGCTATCACCAACGCTGTTTCTTCTGCATATCAATGATATGTTGCAAACCGATAACATTCCTTGCTATGCGTATGTCATAGAGAGGCCGGTGTATAGAGCATCACCAGTGCGGTGATGCTCTATACACTGGCCGTGCCAATATTTCAAACTTGAACAAACTTGTGTACGAATCGAGTCTTTGCTGAACAAAGTCTCGGATGGAGGCGACTAAATCTAGTCCAGTTTAATCCTCAGAAGATACAAGTTGGCGCATTTACCGCTAAAAAGAACCCCTTTGTCGTATCTCCTCAGTTTTAAAGCACTCTCCTTGTTGCCTCAGCCAGTATCGGAATCCACGGCGTCGATATATCGAGTGACGTGCAGTTTCGTGATAATTTGGAAGAGACCAATGCTCCGAATTCCTCGAATAAAATCAAAATTAAAATTAAAGAAACAT